GGGGGGGGGGGGGAGCAAGAACCAGAGTAGAAAGTGTGGACAGAAGGAAGGAAGGAAGGAAGAAGGGGGGAAGGGAAGTGATTAGGTGGGCCTCGGGAGAGAGAAGATGGGGGTAAATTGTTTACTGCATCACTGGATTCTTCTGCTTTTCCCCAATCTCCAGATTCTAAGGTCCCAGTTTCTGATTTTACAGGGTAAAAAGTTTGTGTACTAACAAACGGATTTCAGAGCTGCAGCCAGTATGTCTGTCTTGTAACCTTGGGAATGCCACAATCAGATGCACGTGCAGAGCTGCCATATGATCCAGCAATTTCACTTCTGAGTATTAATCCAAAGAAAACAAAAACACTAGCTGAAAAAGATATATGCACCCCTATGTTCACTGCAGCATTACTAGTAAGCCTAGATATGGAAGCAGCCTAGATGTCCATCAATAGACGAATGGATTAACCATTTGGCACCCCTTCCCCCAAAAACAAACAATAAACAAGACGGAAACAGAGAACAAGCTGATGGCTGCCAAAGGGGAGGAGGGTGAGAGGACAGGAATAAAAAGCAGTAATCATAAAATAAAATAATAAAACAACAAAAAAGCATGGCACTAAATACAATGTATGAGTCCAGACTGGATTACAGACTGGAGAAAAGTAGCTCAAAAGGACATTTTTGGGTTAACTGATGAAATCTGATTATGACTGTGGATCAGGGGGGAAAAAAAACCCGGCAGGTCCAGCCGGGTGTGGCTCAGCGGCTGAGCGTTAACCTAGGATCCAAGAGATTGTGGTTCGATTCCTGGTCAGGGCACGTGCCCGGGTTGTGGGCTCCATCCCCAGTGAGGGGCATGCAGGAGGCAGCTGATCAATGACGACCCTCTCATCATTGATGTTTCTCTCTCTCTTTCTCTCTCTGAAATCAATAAAGATATTTTTTTAAAAAAAAGAACTGGCAGGAAAGTCGACCTGCACAGTTCCATTGAAACCAATCATGGGGGCCTTCAGCCTTCCGTTTAGATAGCTATGAATGGAGGCCAACTAGTGCAGGTGCACAGACCCAGGCACTCACGACAATGGATGCAGCATGGGCCTGGCACCTGGGCTTCACAGAGAGGGAAGGACTAGCATCATCACCTCCCAGCTCCACAATTCTGGGGGTGCCACTCATGCAGATTGGGCTGGCGTGCGACCCAGCACCACAGAATCACTGCCCCGCTAAGTTCTAGCATCAGTACTAATCAAAGAGAGGGAACCTCCATTCCCTCCTGAGCCGGAAGACCCTTTCAGGCAATGGTTCCACATCACCCTGGAGCTTTTTAAAAATACAGATGCTAGTGCAGATGATGTATTATAGAATTGTACCCCTGAAACCTATATAATTTTATTAACCAATGTCACCCCAATAAATTCAATAAAATTAAATAAATTAATTAAAGAAAGAAACAGAATACATATGCCTAGAACAGTCAAAGACCAGGGAATCAGAAGCCTGGGGAGGGTGGGATCAGAGACCCAGGGACCTGGCTCGCTCACATCCAAGGAACTCCACAAGGGCCTCCAGCATCAAGAGAACCCTCGGATCACCTTAAAGTTTACCTTTACAGAGCTCAGTAAGTGTTTTCTGCTAAAATTATAAAAATGACCTTAAAAAAAATCATGCTTTTGAGTAAAGACTAGTTTTAAAAGTATTTTAATGTTAATTGTGTACCCTCCAAATTTTTCTTCCTTTTCACTAAAGATTGAAAATGATATTTAATAATTATGTGGACTCTGTTTTAAGTAAGAAAAATATATTTTCCTTTAACATTTTATTATCAAAAGGCAACACGATGGCTTCTTGGGAGTCAGGCCAGTGGAGAGGGAGAGAACTGGGCTGAGCGGAATCGAGTCAGAGGCTGTAACTATGAAGTATGATACGACTCTTGGTTTTAAATAAAACTGGTTTCTTGCTTCTACCTATTACATGCTTACTCTATAATTTTCAAGCTGGTAAATGTTTCACTTTTATAACTGGGTTGACAGCCAGGCGGATGTCCCATGATAAAGATTCACATTAATGCTAAAGTCAGAAAACAAAATAATGACGCCGAAGTACTGTATCAAATTATGGAGATTCCCAAAGGGACACTAACGGGAGTCTTAAAAAGTTCACATTTCACTGCGTAAGTCATACATTTTAAATAGCAGCATGCTTTCTGGATTGCAAGGACAGAGGAAAACATGAGCCCTTTCAGTGTTTTATAATTGTACAGGTTTCAAACTTGTTGACTGGGTCATCTATATGAAAAGTATCAAATGATTTCATTTACTTGGTAACTGCCACAAATTACTGCTTTAGCAGGGTGTTTTAAAATGTACATGTATGCATAAGGAGTTACCTTTGTGCCAACGACCTGAGATAGCCCTCCACCCAATGTGGGAAGAACCACTGCCAACCAGTTTTTACTCTCACAGAACAGTCAAAAAAGAAAATAAATTTTATACTAAACAATGCTATCTGGCAGGCACTGGGGCAACAGACAGGAGAAGAATGCACACTGAGAGTAAGGTTCGTGACGCGGCTTCACAGCTCACACCTCTCTCCACCACCCCTCCACCTTCTCAGGAAAGGTCTCTTTCTTTCTGTATTTGCCAGAGGTGTGCACAGGGCTGGCTCAGTTAAACGGCCAAAGCTGCCACTTAGGAAAGTTCAAGCAGCCAAACACACCTGTTGTCAGAAATGATTTACATACTGAGGTTTGCACATCTTACTGATTTCAACTGTGATGCTTGTGGACCGTGAGCAAGGAGTAGAAGAGGTAAGTGGGGAGGGCCCCAGGCTGGTAAAGAAATGGGGTAAAACCAACGGGAGCAAGTGAGTGAGCCAGGGATCCCAGAATGCCGGAACTGGAGGGCACCCGAGACAACGCAGGGTCCCGGCCCCTGCGAGCTATGAGGACAGGTGACAGAGGAGGAAGCTGAGGACAGGGTGGGCATGGGCTGGCTGTGCTTTTCTGGCACTCACTCCTCCACCTGTGGCCTAAAAACACACAAACTGCTCACAAGGGGGAAAAGGAAGGAACAGTGAACTGTGCTCCCCTAAAGAGGCAACACTGCTCAGGCAGAGAAAGGTAAGGAACCAGGAAATGTCCCTGATCAACAGGACACCGTGGGCAGGAGAGGAGGGGAAGGAGGAAATCTGACAGCCGACACCAACTTCCTCATGAGACAGAATTCCTAGAACCTGAGCCACGCAGAGAGAAAGGGTGAAACCAGGTGCCCTCACCCAGAGCAACAGTGAACCCCTAGCTGGTCACTCAAATCCCGGTCTACTCAATGCTGCCCATTCGGGGGTGGAATGGGTGGGAAACATGTCTGCGAGATAACGGACAGACATGCTGGTGATTCTATGTGTTTGCCGTGTGGTCGGGGGAAGACTCTCTCTCCAGGTATAGACACAGTCTGCCTAAATGCAATCTAAAGCGCACAGGCTGGAATGCGGCTGGATTTTAATGCTACAACTAAAACCCCCCACAAAACCTCTTCCCTGTATAACACTTGTTCACAGGATCATTTCAGAGCCCATGTTTAATTTCTCTTATGTGTGAGCCTTAGTCTTATTTCAAAGTTTCTGGAGAGGCATGTCACAGAAAGCTGGGGAGCCAGGAGACAGGCAGCTCAGAGATTCTTCAACAGGAGTCGCCGACCAGAAAACCACTGGCCTGTGGGAGGGGGGTGATCGGATGATTTCCCAGGCTCTGCCCCGCTCCGCCAGTTGATGAATGGGAAACGTTCTAACAGCACCAGGCACAGCCTAGTGCTCTATAAAATGACTTAACAGAGGTAATGCTGAGATTGTAGCTTGAAGCTGAAGCAGTGAAAGAGCCAAGAAAGTTAAAAGCCCAATGGGCACCAATGTTTGTGTATGTCTGTGCGTGTGGCTAATGCCATTCTGTGGTCATTAAATCTCTAATATATAGGATTTTGGTCCACATCTGTCTTCTAACCTTTTCTCAAACCTCTTCCCAATCTTCCCCACTGGGACATGTGAGGATACAGGAAAGGAGGAGGCATGATCTATATAAGTTCAGACAGAGGACCGGGAGCCACACCACCTTGGCCATGGGGCAGTTGCAGGGACCCTGACCCTGGCTCTGACCTCGAGCTCTCCTACTCACTGCTTATTACTCAGGTGACCATAAGCAAGCTACCCTCTCTAAACCTCCGTTTCCTCTTGGCAAAATGTGGACATCGCCCTCAGGGGACAGTGATGAAGACTGGCTCTGAAAGTTTTCTCCACCGACCCTGAGCGCTCCCCTTATGGGTCAAGGTCTGCAGCCCACCCACTACGAGAACACAGTATGACAGGATGTCAGGGACGGGGCCAGCCAGCCATTAGGGCTTAGGAACGTGAAGGGACAGGGGGCAGAACATGCGTATAGTTACAACCCCTGCCTTAGCCCCTCTTCAACAAACCTCCCATCTTCCTCGTTTGGTTTCAGACGCTACCAAATTTTAAACCAACTAGAAAACTTTGGTATTCAAAAGCCAGGCAATCAAAATGACTGGATTCATAAGTGGGAACTTGTATCAGACATCTTTAAGGACACGGGCACAACTCCTTTTGAAAGGAGTCCCGGCCACGCCAGTCCTCTGGTGGAGACTGACGGTTTGCTAGGGAGAGACTGTCCAAGAAAAATGGCCTCACCCGAGGAAAATGTGCATGGGGTCTATGTACTAAGCACAGGACTCCTAGAGGGAGGGCGGTGGTGGGGAGGCTGACGGTGGGGGGAGGAGGCAGGGCAAGAGCCGCACTGGTCATCAGGCCCAGACCATCTGCTTTCTAACAAGTGGGAACAGAAGTATGCTCCTCCAGACTCTGAAGGCGACCATGAAGTGTCACCCAAAAAGGGCAGCAAGAGAGGCTGTGTGTGGGGGGGCAACTTCTTTCTAAGAGGCATCTCTTTTTCTGAACTGCCCCTTTCATTAGAATTGTCACTTTACTTTGTCAGGCTTACATCATTTTAAATGGAAAGAAAATGATAGTCTGAAAATGCAGCTTATACTTAATAAACCTAGAAATTCTGGTTCCTGGTAAATGACTCCTCTGAGGACAGGCATGCCTGACGTGCCACCACTGGGTTCCACCAAACCAGAGAGAAGGAAGGAAGGAGGGGGGAAGGGAAGGGAAGCTGGGAATGGGGTCATGTGAACAGGGTCCCCGCTTTCGACCCCACCCTCCCTCTCCCTCTCACCCTGGTCGGTGGCCAGTCTCCCTGCCGGGAAGTAGCACCACAGCCTGGCAGGCCCTCTTACCAGTGTGTGTGAGCATGTGCCTCTGGAGGGAGCTAGCCCAAGGGAAGACGCGTGGGCAGTGGGGACAGTTGATCTTCTGCAGGCAGTTGGCGTAAGAGTTCCGCTTTGCCCTCAGCAGCTTGTCTTCTGGGGGGCTGCCCCGCTCTTCGTCACTGGGCCCATTGTGGTCCATGGGGGTGCTGGCCAACTCGTCCTGAGTATCATCCTCTGCTGTCTGCAGAAATGGACTGAACTTGTTGGTGTCTGTGGTGGCCAGCATCTTCTCAATGCTGGCAAATTCCCCGCTGGAGTCCAGGTCGACCCCACCACTGCTGGTGCGGGGTCGGCTCCTCAGCCCCCTTTTCCGGCCTCTCTTCTTTGACAAGCCAGCTGGCCCCTGCTCGGTGGGTGAAGCTGCCTCTGGACTGTTGGCAGCAGGGGGTGGGTCGCTGGATTCTTTTGGGCTGGTGGTGTCGGCGGGGGCAGTGGCAGCTTTGGGGGCAGTGCTTCCTAAGCTGTCTGAAGTTGTGGTGTTACTGCTGGTGCTGGTGGGCCCCGGGTCAGCCACCTTGGTTTTGAGCAAGGTGGGGGCCGAGGATACCGATGAGATGATCTGGGCGATGGAGGCCAGTGGGGGCAACTCTTCTGTCATAGGGGGCTTTGGCAAGAGCAGGGGGGGCTTGGGGCGTAGAGGCCGCAATAAGGCTGGGCTGCTTATCAGGGTGGAGTTGCCCAAGAGAGGGGAGCTGTTGATGAGAGCTGATGAGTAAATAGGGACAGTGACCTGAAGGGAGCCCTGCAGGGGCTGAGCATGGGCTTCCAGAGTAGTGGCTGTTGAGGCTGCTGCTGAAAGGGCCAAGGGTTTTTCCAGGATTCCACTGGGCCCCAAGGTCACCGGCAGAGTAGGGCACGGTGGTGGACAGGGAGAGGGTTGCTCCCTGCTCCCTGGTTCCTGCTCAGGCTTCTTGGCTTCACTGGGAGCAGCCGAATCCTTGTCTCCTCTCCTAAAGTTCTTGGGGATGGACAGGTCAATGGGCTCCATGGAGCAGTCATAGGGGGCCGAGGAAGAGGGGCTCAGGAACAAGGCTGCGTTTTCCTGCTTCACTTGGACCAGGGCCAGGCCCTTCTGGGAAAAGTCCAGAGGCTCGTTGAAGTCTACTGAGAAGTTGCTGGCTGGCTCCAACTTGACAGAGACTTGGGAAGGCGGAGGCTGGGTGGGGCCCGCATGAAGATAGCCATTCTGAGACTCCAGAAAGGTGGCAAGGGGTTTGAGCTCGCCAAAGGCCCCACTGCCCTCCTCCATCCTCGCTGAGGCCTCAGCCACCGGGGCCTCCTTGGAGCCCAGGCCATCCGCTGCCAGGATGTAGCTCTCGATGTCGTGCTCGGGCACATGCAGGTGCTGCTTAAGGATGTGGTGGACGCAGTTGCGCTTGGCTGAGAAGGCAGCGCTGCACTCCTTGCACTCGAAGGGCTTGGGGCCCTTGGGGCAGCCGCCCAGGCCGCGGCCGCAGTGCGTGCGCATGTGGATGCGCAGGGCGCGGTAGTGTTTCAGGTCTTCGCCGCACAGCCGGCACACGGTGTCTGGGGAGCAGAAGGCGTCCACCATCTCGGCCGCGCTGCTGGTCACGTACTCAATGTTCTTCTCGATGTCCTTGCGTGTGGCCTTGAGGTGCTTCTTGCGCAGGTGCCGCTCGCAGTTGGCCTTGACGGTGAAAGGGTAGTGGCAGATCTTGCAGATATAGGGCCGCTCGCCACTGTGCGTGCGCAGGTGGCGGATAAGCGCGGCCTTGTCCGCAGCGATGTAGTCGCAGATGTTGCACTGGTATGGAGAGATGCCCAGGTGGGAGCGCACGTGCGCGCGCAACACGCCGGAGAAGGCGAACACCTGGTTGCAGAAGCGACAGGGATAGAGCACCTTGCGCATGGCTGGCGATTTCTTGCTGCCCGGGCCGGTCATGATGGCCTTGAGGTCCCCCTCCGTTATCTCCTGCTTGATCTTGGCCTCCATGTTCAGGGGCAGCAGGGCCTCGATGATGCTGTCCTGCTCCAACTGTGTCTTCATCTCAGCCTGGCCAGGCAGCTCCACCCGTGGCTGCTGCAGGAAGAGCTGCATGGCCGTGTGTGGCTGGACCCCAGACTTGGACTGCAGCAGGTGGGCACTGGCCACCTCAACGGAGCCTTTGAGGAGCTTCAGTGGCGGTGGAGGCAGGCTGGGACTGATGGAACCAGGGGAGGCCTGCTGGGCATTGATGAGAGGGGGGGGTGTTGAGGTGGCCACCACCGTCCGCGGTGTGACCAGGGGCTTTGGCTTCAAAGGGGGCATGTGTTTGAAAATTGCCTGCAGAGGGGTGACAGGGGCCTTGGAGAGAGGCGGAAGACTGATTTGAGGGGGCGCTGAGGCTGCCATCTTCAGGATCTGCTGAATGTCGGCCAGCTCAATAGCCGACTCCCCGGAGATGGGCTTGACCACAATACTACTGTCGGGCTGGATGATGAAGCCCTTTTGGAAGGGCTGCAGGGACAGGTGCTTCATGCTCTCCTTGGTAGCTGGGAGGACTGTGACAGATCCCCCCAGGGAAGAAGCTTCGAAAGGAGACAGCCTCAGCATGTTGGTGCAGCCGGGGTCCTGAGGTAGCTGACACTTGAGTGCCTGGAACTGTATTGCTTGGTTGTCATCCGGCAGGGGCTCCTCGGCCGGGACAGGCTTGACGTCTTTGGTGTGCTGCAGGCCCAGGAAGGCCAGGAAGACCTTCTGGTCCAGGGCGTCACCAGGTAGGGTCTTGGCTTGCAGCCTTTCCCGTCCCTGGTCCATAGTGACATGAGTCTGCTTATGTAGGGCGAGCGAGGAGAGCATGGGGAATGCCTTGTCGCAGACGTCACAGACAAAACGGTGCTGCTCACTGATGCACCTTCGCAGGTTTGTTTCACACCAGGCCTGCAAAAGCAAGGAAATAAAGAGGAGCATTTAAAAATCATCGTAAACTGAGATGCAGAAAGCATCTGTTGTACAACTGCCGCAGCATCCAGCTTTCTCCATAACACATAAGGAGTTGACCTTTCCCTGCTCGCTAACTCCCAGAGTGAACAGGGAAACCCACAAGCATCTTAAGTATCATGTCTTTTTGATGAATGGCATAAGGTATCTCAGCAGAGAAGCAATGAAGTATAGTTAAGTGGTAATACCACGACAGTAGGATTTTCTTTTTAAAAACGGGTGCTTTGCAAAACTAACTGATGGGGACTACCTACCATTGGTGGAGAACCAGCTCCCTGTGCTCTCAGGAGAGAGAGAGTAGCATCCGGGATTACATGCGTGTACACATACGGGTGCCTACATATGGAACTGAGCTTGAGGCTTATGCATCGGAAGAATTTCACTGTTGATATCTTCTATCTCAATTTTTAAAAATTGGAAAAAAGGCCCTAGCTGTTTTGGCTCAGTGGTAAAGAGTGTCAGCCTGCGGTCTGAAGGGTCCCAGGTTTGATTCCGGCCAAGGGCATGTACCTTGGTTGTAGGCTCGGCCCCAGTTGGGGCGCACGTGGGAGGCAACTAATCAATATGTCTCTCACATCATGTTTCTCTCTCTCTCTCCCCCCTTCCCTCCCTCACTCCCTTCCACTCTCTCTGAAAAGCAATGGAACAAATATCCTTGGGTAAGGATTAAAAAAATAATAAAATAAAAATTGGAATAAAGTAGTTTCAAAGTAGTTTTAGCAGGTGCTTTAAAAGCAGAGAACAAATACGGCTCAGGTTAATAACGACCCAAAACATTTTAAATAAAAAAACTATAATGCCGGAAATATTTAGCTGTAAGGCTAGTTAAAGCTGCGATGTAATTAAAAATAAACATTCAACTTTGGTAGGGCCCAAAGAGCGGACAAAAGCACTGATGAGCTAGATTCAGGTGCAAGTGAATATGAAATTTAAAACAAAATGAAAGGTGGCCTACACTCTCAACCCACAACCCAAATAAGTCTAAAAGGGCCAAACTGAATTTCGAGAGGGAAGGTGTTGTTAAAAACAACACCTAACAGACCTAATTTTGAGGAAAGGAAACCTCAGGGTGAGGAATTTAAGTCCAACTCTGCAGACCATGGAGGAGGAGAGTGCTGGTTGTGCCACCCAATCCGCATACCTGAGAAATCCGAGGAAATTTCCTGCAGGAGAAGTCAGTGAATCCCAAGTCATGGAAGCCAGCAGGAATGGAAGGGTTGTTCTGGATGAAAGGCCTTCCCGTCGAGTCTCTGGGAAGCTGTTTGTGGACAAGCGCATTGTGACGTAGCAATCCTCGATGAGTTCGAAAGGTGACACAGCAAATGTCACATCTGGGAAGAAAGGGACAGGATATAAAGAGGGAGCCAAGTCGGAACTTCCACTTTCCCATTAGTCTTACTGTATAAGTAAATGAAAATAAAGTGATACAACAAATGACTGTAATAATAAAAATAGAAATGATATGACATCAAGAAGCCCGTCTGCTAATGGTCAGCAACAAAAATCTCTTCCTTAAAAAGAAAATTAAATCCTAACCACCTCTGGGTTCCAATCTCTGCAGACAGCACAGGTGTGCACACTGTCGCAGGCCTACTTATTCTACCCGATTATGTCACACAGAGCGACATTTCAAAGTTTCTCACTCCCTCTGCTCAATGTATTCGAGTCACAAAACATGTCTGAAAGTCAAGCACAAATTTACAGTGTCTCAAGCAATCCCATCAGCATCCCATCATTATCTGAAAAATAACCATGGATCCCCCCTATTAAGTCCACACTAAGTCAGGCTACGCTACAGGGCAGTGGCACAGTCCCGGCAGGGGGGCGGGCATCCTGGCCTCCGTCTCACAGAGGAAAACGCTAAGGCTGAGGTCACACAGCTGGTGCCGTGACGCTGTCTCCCTTTTCTAGAAAACCTCCCACAAACGCAGTCCCTCTTAGTATCATCACGCTGCACCTGAGAGATGACCTCCTCCTTCACCTTAAATGTCCCGGGTCACATGGATGCATCAGAAACACCCTTTTTCAATACTTTTTCCACGTTCACACCAGTGTTGTCTTGTAGGTCTTTGCCGAGAACCACCATCTTAAGAACTATACAATCATCAGGATGTCACCAACATCCCCTACACCAGCGATTTTCAACCTTTCCCATCTCAGGGCACACATAACTAATTACTAAAATTCTGCGGCACACCAAAAAAAATGTATTTTGCTGATCTGACAAAAAATAAAGGTGTAACTTTGATTCATTCACACCAGATGACTATTGTTGTTGGTTGCTGTCACTTTTTTATTTGACGATCTAAGGAATAAAAGGTCAGTGCCCCTGGCTAAATAGATATTGCATGTTTTAAAAATTCTTGCGGCACACCAGTTGAAAAATCACTTCCCTAAACTGTCACTAGAGCTACACATGGTTATTTACATTTAAATTAATTAAAATTTCCTCAGTCACATTAGCCTAATTTCATGGGCACACTCCCATGACCACAGTGCCGTGTGCCAAAGATCATTCCAGTATTTACCCGTATAAGCCCATCTGTCCCTGCATACACCTCAGTGGAAACCTTTTTCGCTTCAAAATGCCTCTCTGGAAATAGATAACGAAATCACCCATGAAGCAGCTGAGCTCATTTTCATCGGGCGATGAAAGAAAGAAGTGCCAAGTATGTGCAACTCTGCCTCCTTTATCGCGCAGAGGCAGGCCACGGCAGGGCGTCCCGCCGTAGATGTGCCTCTCCTATCGCCCCCGCTAACTCGGCCGCATCTTGCCATCAAGATTCCTGTCATCATTCAATTCATTTGGAATACCGAACCCTCCCCGCCACTCAAATGCGCAACTCCTGAGGGAATTCTGCTGCAGCTCGCCAAGGGTGATAAAGGCTCTGGGGAAGAGACAGCTTCTGAGAGCCCCAAATACCTCTAGGTATTGAAAGTTCTCACAGCAGAGGGCCCAGGCGAACCCCAAACCCCAGGGACCATTCCCTGCCAAAGTACCAGAGACTACATCACAGGCTGTGAGGCAGTTAAGTAGGGAGGCAGAATGGTTGCAGCCACTCTGGCTGGAACACAGTCAAGTTCCACACTGCATACTCCAGGGGGCGACCACCCTCAGAGCCCCATGGCCGCCCCGTCCTGTCCTGCTGCCCTGGAAAGGGCACGTTCTCTTCTATCACCCTGGCTTTAGTCCTCCCAGGCTCAAGTTCAACTGCATGAGCCATGTGGTCACCAACCCATCACCATGTCACCAGTCTGCTGAGAGCTCTGTACTGAATTGAAAGGACGAGAGAATATCTGAACTGGGGAAATTTAACACTAACCAGATATTAGATGATGTTAGAATATTACTTTTAATTTTTTAGATCAGCGATTTTCAACCAGTGTGCTGCAAGAATCTTTAGAACAGGCAGTACCTGACTATTTAGTCAGGGGCACTAACCTCTTTTCCCTTAGACTGTAAAAAAAAAATAAAAATAGCCAACACAACAATAGTTGTCTAGTGTGAATGAATCAAAATTATACCTTATTTTTTCTGTCTAATTACCAAAAATTATATTTTTTGGTGTGCTGCAGAATTTTAGTAATTAGTTTGTGTGCCACAAAATGAAAAAGGTTGAAAATTGCTGTTTTAGATAATAACGTCTTGTCTACATTTTTTAAAAAGTCCTTTTCCTTTATAATATGTAATAAAATACTTATAAATGAAATGTGTTGCCTGGGCTTTGTTTTGAAATCATCTGGGGTGAGGAAGAAATGAAACACAATTGCCTGTGGGTGGATAATTTCTGAAACTGAGTGATGAGTGTATGGGGGGGTCATTAGAGTAGTCTCTGTACTTCTGCATGTGTCCAAAATGTTCCTTAACACATCTAAAAAACCATCTCATTGCAAATGGCCAATGAGAGTGGGCTGAATTTTTGCTTCTTTTTCTAAGTTTCAACAATGTCCAAACCACTACTTGCAACAGTTGTGTGTGGGGGGCTCAGTCTACAGAAACTCCAGAAGAGAAGCCCCGACACTGAATCTCACTGTGGCACAGGCCATGTAAAGGAGCCCATTTCTCCAGGAAATGCACTGGACAATCACAGGGGCCGGGGGTCTGGAGGGCTCAGGAAGGCCCCACGTTGTGGGATTTACAGGCTGGCAGAATAAGCCACCCAGGGTGGGTTGGGTGGTCAAGTCTATGGTCCATCTGGTTTGCTACTTTATGAACTAGAGATAGTTCACATTTTCTCTCTCCCCTTTCCCCTCTGTCCTGCCTGGGGGGTAAGCAGGTGAGGTCTGGGGAACTGTGGGAGATGGACTCTGGTCTGTGCTGTGCCTGGAAAGAGACTAGGAGATAAAGGTAAGAAAGACTGGGGCAAGCTATAACACAGTGGGCCCTATAGGCACCTTCTGCTTGAAGTCTACACTAACTTGCTCTTCCAGAATTCATAATTAGCACCGCCTACATACATCTTGTGTAGAACATTTGCAGTGTTTTAAATTAATTTTTACCAGTGCCAGGCACTGTCCTGGATTCTGGGTCGCTGCAACAAATACCTAAACTCATTTCATCCTAACAACCTATCGAGACAAACAGCATTAGTAAGACTCAATGATTGAGTGATCCTTCAATCACACCTGAAAGTCCAGGCCTGTTCCTAAGCTCATCTTTCCCGTGAAGATAGCAGGGTTTACTATGCCCTGCAGAGAAGGGCTCGTTAATCAAAGTCAGGTAAAGAGGGGGACTTGCTCATAAAAAATGCTTCATGCACATCTTAAATTTTTTATTTAATCTATATAGTTAAATAAACCAGAAACCCTGAGGACTAAGAAGGGCTTCTGGTGGTCAACTGGGCTCAAAAAACAAACACACGCACAAAACCCTAGAGCAGAGCAGCCATTTCTGCACAGGGGCCTCTCATGCAATCTGCACTTAGCAGAGAGGCCTCCTCACTGAACTGCCAGCCGGCACTGGGTTCCTGCCACCTGAGCCAGCCCTTATGAGGGTTTCCTGGAATCTTATTTCAACCAATAGGGTCGAGGCTTTCCCCAGCCAATCTGGGATGCACAGCTCTGACCAATCAGAGCAGCTCTATTCTAACCAATCAGGGGCCAGGAGCGGGGACTTCTGTCTATATAAGCCAGCTCCCCTGTGGCTCTGGAGCACACTTTCCACAAAAGACTGCCTTTCCCTGGCTGGGGCTGAAACACTGAAGACAGGCAAGTGGAACTGACTTGTGCAGAGCAGGCCCATCACAGCAGAGCTGCCTAGCTGAAGAGGGGCCTGGCCTCAGGGCCACCTGACCCCCAGGAAGCCTCACAGGGAGCTGTTCCACAACTGCCATTTTCACAGCCATGCTGTATTACCTGTGAGCTGTTTGCACTAAATAAAGTTTCCTTCTTCACCACACCCCAAACTGGGGGCTCCTGCTGGTGTTTGAATTGGTGCCAATCACTGGTTGACAAAACACATTCCGTTGATCCTCATTATTTGTGGATTCTGTATTTGTGAATTTGTCTTTGTTAAAACTTACTTGTAAACCCCAAATTAGTAGTTGCAGCGCTTTCTGGATCATTCACAGATGTGCACAGCGCTGTGAAAAATTTGAGTTGCCCATGGCACATATTCCCAGCTGAGGTAAAAAAAGGAGACACTCTGCCTTCTTGTTCAGCTCTCAAACTGTAAACAAGTGTCTTTTTGCCATCTACTGAGTGCCACAATCTATTTATAGTGCTTTTTGGTGATTCTGCTGCATAAAATGGCCCCCGGGCACAGTGCTGAAGTGCTGTCTAGTGTCCTAAGTGCAAGAGGCTGTGATGTGTCTTATGGAGAAAATACCTGTTTAAGATAAGCTTCATTCAGGCATGAGTGTAGTGCTGTTGGCTGGGAGTTCAGTGTTAATGAGTCAGTATTATTTATTAAATAAGGTGTCCTTAAACAGAAACACAAATAAAATGAGGTTATGTACTGATCAGCTGATGAAATGCTGGGACCGTGTTTCCTCTAGGAGTAATGGTTCAGCATTCATTCTGTGCTCATGTTGCCCTTACAGAAAATAAGTACAGGAAGAACAAGAGCTGACTGGACGCCCATTCACCCATCGTATGTGTGAGGCTAGTTCCACTGAGTGAAGTTCCAGGTTCCTGTCGCTGCATGAATCATACTCATAACATAACATCTTTGATTCCCAGTTTAGATTCAAGGGAGAGCAAGAACCTACATTTTTCCAAGCCAAACTAGACCAGAATCCTATATTTTTACAATTATTTCTCTTGACTGTTTACAGGTAGTCCTGCCCACCCTAAATACGACATAAAAAGAGGCCAATTTGGACAATAACCA